TGGATTTATACTAAATTCTCTACTGCAGGTAGATATATTAACCTTTTAACATAACCTCACTCCAATCAATCTGAACTATCGCTTTAACTACCTATAAATAAACTGATAAGAAATGGTTAGATAGATGGGTTTTGTTCACAGGCAGGAAATAGTAACATGTAGGTATGAAATCAGGGTATGAATTGGCAAAGGGGGCAAACTGACCCAGAGTCCACAGTAGATGTATAAAGTAGCATTTATTTATTCACTTTAAATGTACATAACTATATTTTTCTAATTCTTCATGTTCTTCTCAGGCTGTCTGAAAAGAACATCAGCATCTTTTCTGTTTCATTACTAACAAAATTTGTATAATTTCTCTGAATGCCTCCATCTCTCGTTGTGCACACAAACAGAAAAACAGGAACATTTATTTCACATGTTTACTTGAACTTCAATAGCAATACAAGACAATCAGAACACTTGAGGTCGATATGTACAAGGATCTCAGGAGGGGTTGCAGAAAATATCTGAGGTTTTACATGATCTCAGGCTCTGCAGTCAACGAGTTCCTCCACGGGCAGTTCGTGGCAAGCTCTGGGGGAAGAAGTTTTGGTCTTTACGTGAAATGGGTCGAGTCAAAGTCAGGAGAAGGAGAGAGACAGAGAGCTCTTCCGGTTGGTATTGATAAAATGCTTCAATGTGATACATTAAATATACAATAATGATTTATTTACACATACTTTCTGTCATACACACATATACACATCCTTACACACACACATGCTCATCAAGCTATGCAGACTCACCCGCATGTACGCGTCAGCGCGTCCTTCTACAGTATGTAGCCTTGCAAAGCCACTATAAAGTCATGCACGATTTCTTTAAAAGATTTTTTTTGGCAACACACAAGTGCTTCTTTGACACACTGTTTGCTACAGGGAGGGGCAACACCCAGCCAATGAAGCAAAACCTAGGCGGCGGAGACCGATTAAGGAAAGCACCTATGAGATGGGAAGACACAAGAGGGTTTTAGGAAAGACAGAAGAGGGAGTGGCAGGAGGAGAAGCAGCTATAAATGGATCACAGTCGTACAAAAGTAACAAAACATGGAGAAGGGGGAGTCTCGTGGTGATCAGGGGGTAGAAGCAGGGAGGAGCCATCATGTAAATGTCAGAATTGTTAAAGCAGTCCAACATCATTATTTTTCTAAAACATCTTAGTTTCCATTCGTTTGTTTTTCACTTTGTTGAAATTATCGCCCATCATCCTTCTCCCCCCTGGTATCTATACCCCAATCACCACCGCCCTAGTCACAGACTCGTCACCCTCTGCATCTGTCCATCGTCTCCATCAGAGGTGGACTCTGCCGAGTACCCTGTCTCTCCGTTTGAAGCTAGTGGCGGGGGCTGGTAGAAGGTCTGCAGGTGATTTGGCCTCGGCCCCAGCGGGGGGCGCCCCAGGCTGTAAGGCAGCTCCAGAGTGGGCCGCTGGGGCTGATGTACACTGGTGGGGCTGACTTCTTCTGGGCCTTCAGGGCTGCTGTCTGGGTACATGTGAGTTGGCGGGGAGGTGCGGGTGTAAAAGCGGGGAGGGGAGCCGCTGCGGCTGTACACCTGCGGAGAGTGGCGGGAGTAGAGGTTGTCTGGAGGCGAGTTGTCCCCTCGTGGAGCAAAGATGTTTGTTGGGGGAGGGTTTCGGGAGAAAATGTTTAGAGGCGGCGAGCAGCGGTCTCCGGGGTAGAGGGGGGAAGGATTTGAATCTCGGGTATAGATGGGGGAGGATTCAGGGTCCAAGTCAAGGTCGGGAGTCAAGGGTAGGGTGAAGCTGTCTGAATCCTGTCGCTCGCCATGATACCGGAGAGATCCTCGGTCTTTCCCTCTGATCCTCCCGTCGAGGCCTCCATCTTTGTTTTCAAATGAGAAAGACTCCTCACTGTCCAAATCTATGCCCCCTCTCCAAACATCCAATGCTCTGTCCTTCTGTTTCTCACTCTCTCGTTCAATCCCTGCCCTCCATCCATCTCTGTCCCTCAAAAAAATGGATTCATCTTTCTCTCTCTCTATCCCACTTCTCCAACCATCCATCCCAAAATCTTTCTTCTGAGTAATGAAAGTCTCTCCCTGCTCTGTCTCCCCTGCTCGCCACAGCTCCAGTCGTCCATCTCTCTTCTCCAGCAATTTAGATTCCTCCCTCCCTCTCTCAATGCCAGCCCTCCAATCATCCATCGTGCCATCTCGCTTATGAGAGGTAAAAGACTCGTCTCTCCCCCTCTCAGTTCCCCCTCTCCAGTCGTCATTTATTCCATCTCTTTTCAGCAGAAATGTCTCATCCTTTTCCCTGTCCTGGCCACCTCTCCATGCCTCTACAACTGTTTCTCTTTGTTTCATAAGCAGTGGCTCTTCTAGAGCCTTGTACAGTGACTCTTGCTCCTGTGGAGGTGGGGGAGGAGGAGGAGGGAGGGGTCTGTCGCGGTAACGATCCCTGTCTCGCTCTCTGTCCCTTTCCCTGTCTCTTTCTGTCCCTCCGGTCGACTCCACTGTGCTGCGGTGGCGGGTCAGAGTACCCGGGGTGCGGCTAAGGGTGGAGTAAGGCCGAGCCTGGACATCCGGAGGTCGTGCTTGCAGCCTTTCCTGGTGTCCACGCCGACCTAGAGTACCTTGCAGCTGTGAGCGGTCTCCGTCTTTCAGCAGCTCCTGGGTATCTGAGTCTCCAGAAATGCGTCCGTGTAACCAGCCATCTTGTAAGCGAGGCGTGGTGGCATGGTCTTGACCATGTGTGGTGGCGTTTGTCTCAGTATCCTGTGTGGGCTGCCTTACATGTGCCCAGCCCTCTTGTGCATTTTGCCGGGAGCTTGGCTGCACCGTAGCGGACCAGCCCTCTTGTGGGGGCTGTGGGTGCCGGGTTAAAGTAGCAGTGTGAGTAAGAGCTGGCCTCTCATTATGATGCGGCCTCGCCAGACTCCCATAGCGCTCAGGCGGGACAGGCATGGGACCTGAGGGCCGCAGGTTGCTCTGCACCAGCTCTGAGATGATCATCTTCTCTAGAGCCGCTGCGTCGGACAGATTGCGATGCAATCCGGCTCCGCTGTTCATATCTGTCGAGCCATGTGGTGTGAGGAGCCCCGGTGAAATGTCATCACCTCCAAGCCCAACTCCCCCCTCCCTCAGAAGGTCAGCGCTGCCCACCACTCCTGCTCGGGACCCAGGTGTTGTACCCAGACCATGAAGGGTGAAGGTGTTGGAGGTGTAGCCTCCATTGAGACAAACACTGTCCAATGCACAGGATTCCTGGCTCTGTGACACTCCACCCTCTGTAAGGAGAATAAGAATATAAAAGTTAAAGAAAGACACTAAAACAAAGACAGAGAGGCACATCATGAACGAATCAATGAATGTATGAATACAGATTGGAGTTCAGATGTTGCTGAAGGTGGAGCTTTTTACCAGGATTTAGGAAATAAACAAGCTATTCCTCAATGAAATGTTCACTCATGTTGCCACATGGAAAGATGTAAGTAATGCCTTTACAGCGCCTTGCAAAAGTATTCCCACCACAATTTTCAACGTATTTTGTTTGCTACAATTATATCTACAAGCCTTTTGGGCTATGTCAATACCATCTTTACGCATTTTTCCTAGATAGCTCAGTTAGATTTTCAAATCTTGCCACAGATTCGGATTTAGGTCTGACCTTTGATTGGGACAGTCAAATGCATGAATACGCTTTATTCTAAACTATTCAAACAAAGGTTCTGGCTGTATATTTAGCATTACTGTCCTGCTGGAAGGTAAACCTCCACCCCAGTCTCAAGTCTTTGTGAGCTTCTGACAGCTTTTCTTCCATTATTACCCTGTATTTACCCCCATCCATCTTCCCATGACCTGCTGAATTCAAGCATTCCCATACCATGATGCTGCCACCACAGTGTTTTACAGTGGGGGTGATGTGTGCAGGTTGATGTGAGTGGTTTGTTCAAAGGGCAAAAAGGTCAGTTTTGGAGAGCACCTTCTTACACATGTCTATAAGTCTTCCAGCAAACTGCTCGTCTTATAGCTTTCTTTTAGGCATTCTTCTTTCCTCTCCATTAAGGCCAGATTTGTGGAGTTCACGACTGTCCTGTTGACAGATATTCCCACTTGACTTGCGAATTCTTGCAGGTGCTGTAAAGATACTATTGATTTCCAGCTCCCCACCCCCGAAGGTTTTCAGTTATAACATACACCTTCCATTTTTGCAGGACAGACTGAACTGGACGAAATGTTGAGAAGAAAAAAGGTATGAATAATTTTGCAAGATGACTGAACGGTTGGTGCTTATTTACTTTCTGTAGCTGTTGCACTGAGAGTCCATGAATTGAAAGAAATGGTGCTCAAAGATTTTAAGGAGCACAAAAGGAAAGGGGTCATACTCTGTTTGTTTCTGAAGGTTCCTACTGGTCCACATAAAGACGGAGAGACAGAGAAGGAAAGTGTGAAAAACATTTAAAAAAGACAAAATATTTAAACCAAAAACATTGCAACAAAGAAGTCATTTTTTCTCAAACTGAAATTAAAATAAAACCTTTATAATGATCAGGGACAGAAAAAGACCATGAAAAAAGAAACAAATAGAGAAGCTGTTTTTAATCATTCAACATAATGAAAATAATAAACAAACAAATTTTTACTTATGGATGTACTCTAAATATGTTTAAAATATTTTTCATACATTATATTATTTTTATTTTATATTACAAGAATTATCTATATCCACTCTTTGAACTTTACTTGGAGTTGTTTTTATGTATCTTAAGCAGGAGGTTTTGTTTTAAACCTGAAAGTGCTGAATGTGCCTCTTTTATTCTTTTGAGCTTGACCATCAAGCTTTGATGGAACATAAATGGATTTGAAAATGTTGGTAGCTTGTTGAAAAACTTTAACACAAGGTAGGAATATTTACAATCTAAAACAAGACCAGAGAGGCTGCTGTTATAGTTACCAATGCTAACATCTCTAGTCACTAACAGGGGTTGTTTAAAGGCGACTGTGGCTCAGTAGGAAGAGTAGTTGTCTTGCAATCAGAAGGTTGTGGGTTCAATGTGCCCCTGGGCAAGGCACTTAACCTCAAGTTGCCTACTGATCTGCATATCGGTGTATGAATGTGTGAGCATTAGTGAGTGTGACTGGGTGAATGTGGCTCTAGTGTAAAGCGCTTTGAGTGGTCTGCATGACTAGAAAAGCGCTATATAAGTTCAGTCCATTTACTATTTAAACCAAACTTGTTTTCTTGACAGCATTTCACAAAATTATTATTTATTTAAATAGAAATTATTTTTATTAAGCTCTTTGGCTCCTTTGATCTGTCATACGCTGTAAAATCGCCTTTGCTCATAAACAATTTGTGTAATTACAAAATCAAATTAAAGCTGCAAGCAGCCTTGTAGGCCCTCGCACCTCAGCGCAACTCGGCCTGTGCAGCGACCGCGGGAGCCTGGCATCACCTCCTACATGCCATACATAATGACACCGCTTCACTTGAACGTCGCCAGTAGGTGGCACTGTGAGCAACATGTCATATGATCTTCAGTCATGCAGAGTTTCGGGCTGGCATAAAGCATTCCAAATTTGGAATAAATCAGACCTTCCTGATGGAAGATGCACTGACTTGTTTGTTTGTGGGCGGGGCTAAAACGACATCATCAATTGACTGTGTCAACATGTCCATCATTAAGTCATGATCATGTATAC